GAATCTCGATTCAATATAGTAAAACACTATTGACTGCAACGATTCAATGGAGTGAATTGATATTTACTCAAGTGAATCGCGATTTAGTGCAGTGAAACGAGATTCATTTCAGCGAAATGCTATTCACTGAAATGAATCGCGATATGGATTATAATATCTATATTCAATAATGTGATTAAACCTTCATGCTTGCCATGCATTATGCAAAGTCTGGTATCATTAAAAAATGAATTGTCATCGATTTAGCAGGTCTACGATCTAGTTCAAGAAACAAACAAAAAGCATGTGTTGAGGTATTTACACCTATACCTCAACAGAAGACAACACGGGTTGTGACCATGCAAAGCAGTGACGATGACTTCATCAACCCCCCAAATAATCCTGACAGTGAGGAAACATTAAAGCGTACAAGGGATGAAGACAATGAACAGACCCCAAAAAGAATGAAGAAGAAAAAGGTTGGTGTACTAAAAATTTTTAATTTTTTTTGTGTATTCAATGATGGATAATTTGATCTAATTATATTATTTTTTGGGGTGGAGAAGCTTGTGAAAAAAAGATATGTGAGGTCCAACATTGACGATAACCTCGTCAACCCCCCAAATAATCCTACCGATGAGGAAACATAAAAGCGTAGTAGGGATGAAGACAATGAACAGATCACTGGAAGGTAAAAGATGAAAAAGGTTAGTGTACTAAACATCTTTTTTTTGGTATTAACTGATGGATAATTTGATCTAATTATATTTTTTTTGTCACTGGAGAATCTTTTGAAAAAAAAAGTGAGTTCTGAACCTAAGGAGTTGACTAGGATAAGGGTTTTTCCAAAGATATTCTCTGATATGGTTTCGTCACTCTCTGACTCCCAAAAAGAATGGGTGAGACTAGCTGGACTTGGGGCTCTTTTACAATTTGGATTAAAGGAACTGCCACATATGTTGGGGTACCAGATTCTGCAGTCCTTTGACAGTGAATCCGTTGCGCTTAATCTTCCCAGAGGATCAATCAGTATCACAGAGGAAGATGTACATCAAGTGATGGGATTACCTCTGGGCAGGAAGCGTATACCAGCTTCCAGTACTGGCAAGTCAACATTGGTGGATGAATAGAGGGCTCAATTCACAGACAGATTTGGTTGGAAGATTACTCCAGGGGCTGTGTCTGAGAAACTGAAGCACAATTCTGATGTTAACCTGTTTTTTAAACTGAATTTCTTGGTTCTCTTTCACAACAGCATGATCCAGTCGCTTAGCAATCCGTATGTCAACCAACGGATTCTAGTACTTAGTGATAATGTTGATCAGTGCTCTGAATACAATTGGTGTTCTTTCTTGCTTGACTCAATGATAGATAGCCAACACAAGTGGAAGGTTGACCCGACAAAACAATCTACACGGGTCCTCTTGCATTCTTGATTGTAAGCCACTTGTATAATATTGATTTATTTTTACATTACTGTAGTTAAAGTAGTTTTACTTGATGATTACTAATTGATGTGCTTTATTTCTTATCTCCGTCTTTTTAGCTGTTCTATGCCGATCGGGTTCTGTTCAAAGGTAGGAGGTTGGTTGAGAGAACAACCCCTACATTTTTAGGATGGACTGACTTCGCCTTGAAGGAAAGACAATCAGAGGAAATAAGAACAAATTCATTTGGCAAAGGTGCATTTACAGAGAGGGTTGAACTTCCAGATTCATCTCTCGAATGCAGAGTGTTACTGGAAACTCTCCTAAAAGTGTTGATACAATTAGAAAGGTTAGCAAATTAAGTTGGAATACTTTGTTTATTCAATTTATTCTCGATTCAGTAGGAGTGAATCTCGATTCACTTAAACTAAATGTCGATTCAGATTAATGAATCGTTTTACTAGTAATGAATCTCTTTTCAGATCAGTGATTATCACTCAAGTTAAACTGAATTCAGATTCAGTTAAGTGAATCTGGATTCAGTGATACTCAATATCAATCTATTGAACTGAATCTGGATTCACTCTTACTGAATCTCGATTCATTGAAGTGAAACTGGAATGAATCTGGATTCACTACTAATGAATCTTGATTCTAATACATTGAATGTAATCTCAATCTATCGAATCTTGTCTATCGCCATGTTAATAATTTATGGTGACCAATGTCTGTCATATTCAAAATGCAGGATTGTATTGAGAGGGTTCAACGGAGAGCTGCAGAGCTGGAATCTGCAAAAAATAGATTTGATGCTGAGTGTGAGACAATGAGAAAGCTGTTCCCCGATGACAATGAGCTCTTTCAAATTCAACAGAGAGTTTCAAATGTTCTTGTGTAGGGGTGTGGACATCGTGCAAGTACCTGTGATGATGAAACAGCTGTGGGAAACATTGTTGATGATACCCCTAATGTGAACACCAAGGTGAGTAGAGATATGCATTGTTCCCCTGCTGTTGATCCAATATCAGCTGAGATACCACAAACACAAGTCTCCCTAATGTTTATTCAAGAAGTTGATAAGATTATAGAGTCTGTTAGCATGAAAAAGGATGACAGACCAATGAGACGGAAGATCAGCGAATGTAGTACCCCACAGACTGAGGAACCTAGTTTTTCTCTTGGGCAGACACAGGATACTCAGACTGAATCAGTGGAAATGGTTGATGTTGTTCAGATTGCTAAAGCTTGTGAATCTGAAATCATTGATGAATCTGTACGAAGAACTGATAAACAACCTGAAGATGCTGCTGCAGTAAATGAATGTGAAGGTAAGAAAGTTCAGGTGGCCGAAAATAAGGGACATGCGGGAAGGGGGAAAGAAAAAAGGATGGTGAAGCCTGCAACGTCTCTTCGGTCACCATGGGTGCAGAGGGTATCTCAGATTACTGCTAGGCAAAGTCAGCTGGAAAGCATCATATGGAATTGGGTACATAGAGAAGTAAGGCATTCAGGTGATGATACCGCTGAAGAAGAGAATTTGTGAGTTCTGAACACTTATTTGATATTTTATTATTAGGTGTGAGACTCACTATTTTTAGTATTTTGTCCCTTTATTAAATTGAATATTGTTACTGTTTTTCAGTGAAATGGTTTTTAAGTGGAGACAAATTGAATGTTTCTTACCTGCTTTCAAGACTTTCCTTCCTTCTGAGGACATTGAGGCAAATTTAATCAGCATTTGGTCCTATATTTTGAACAACAGAGAAAAAATGAAGTCCGAAAATTCTCCACTTAGATTCTTCTGCAATGTTGAGACAACCGTAAGTATCTTCCTTTATTCTTTTTAAAATAACAATTCAGTTACATCTTATTTAACAAGTTTTATGTTGTACAGTTTTGCAACATTCATCACACAGATGAGGCCAATGATGAATTGAGATACAGTCAGTTTGCTTCCCGTATGGATGAGCAACTTTCTCTGTATCCACATATGAAGTTTAATGAGATTGATATGGTAAAGATTAGAATACAATGTTTTTGTTCTTTAGCCCAATTTTAACTATATCTGTAAAATCTCTGATTAAATTTCACAACAAATAGGTCTTCTTCCCCATAAATGCGTTTGAGCATTTCTACATTGTATGTTATGGGCTAAAGAATCCAAGTATGGAGCTGATTGACAATAGCAAAAACTGTCCAAACTACAAGGAAAAATACCAAGGTCGTCCTGAGAGTTTGGTATGTTTTTTCCACCTTACATATGTTCTTTAAACATTTACTGGCAAAAAACAGTAATGAGTGAATCCATATTCACTATAGTGAATCCAGATTCACTATAGTGAATCCGGATTCACTATAGTGGATCCGGAATCACTATAGTGAATATGGATTCACTATAGTGAATATGGATTCACTATAGTGAATCTAGAATTCAATAGAGTCAGAGAATTCCAGATTAGCTAACTCTAGTGAATCTCGATCACTATAATTAGTGAATCTGGATTCACATTTACTATAAAGCTCAATTCACTAGAGCTAGTGAATCTGTGTTCACATCACGTAATAACGATCCACTAGCTATAACTAGTGATCTGAAATTTTGATCACGAGAGTTAGTGAATCTGGATTCACATCTTACTATGAATCTCGATTCAATATAGCTAGTGAATCTGTGTTCACATCACATAATCACTATGCACTACCTATAGTTAATTCTAATGAATCCAGATTCACTAATATGAATCCAGATTCATTAGAGTAAATCCAGGTGAACTAACTCTATTAAATTCTAGAGAGCTAGATCCATTGAATCGTGATTCAATGTCATTAATACTGTTTGCATATAAACAACCAAAACAAATTGTATACTACATTAAACATTACTGTTTAATAATTTGGATTTGTTATGTGACACTGATTACTTTTGATTAAACAACACCAAAATTTTGTGAGATATTTGGCACACAAAAAACATCACAAGGCGAGCGAAATAAATACATTAACGCCTGACAAACTTGAGATGGAGTGGAGAACGACCAAAAACAAATTTGATTGTGCTATTTTTGTCATGAGACATATGGAGACCTACATGGGCGGTGGTACAGCAAATTGGAACTCTGGTTTTCATAGAGAGGGTGTAAGTGTTTAAACTAATAATGTGTTGATAATTTACATTTAGTCTTTTTGAATTAATCAAATTTAGAATATAGCTACTGAATCTTGAACTGAACTTTTATTCATATCGACAGGAGTGATTAAAAAATCAGCTACATAGACTGAGGTCTATATACTGTTGCCAAATTCTTACTGAACCAACAAATGAATTGGCCAAAGAAGTCATCAGCAAAGCCCAACAGCACTATGATGAAACTGCCAATACCAAAAAAGAGACGAAGAAGACCACAAGATCTCAAGGAAAATGATATTCTGTAATCACCATAATTTTAAACGTTGAAGTTTACAGTTATTGAGTACATTGTCACTTAATGTTATGGAATACTCTAGTTTGTGTTGAACTGCTTTTCTATGTAAATATACTTTATGAGGAATAGCTTTGTCATAGTTTTATTTCTGAAATGAAATATAACAACTAAATTAAACATCACTTTGTTGTACTGTTTTCTTTAATGGGCATGTCTGTGCGTCATGGAAATCGATTATTTTGCACATATTACACAGCCTTGGCACCTTCTTTTTTCGTTGAGTAAGTGATTTCTCATAATCACCAACAATTCTCCGTCCACACCCCTTGTTTCTACCTTCAATGGGAGGTTTAACGATCACTTCCGCTGGTATTTTTGAGCCAACAAAAAACTCCATTACATCATTTTTGTTCTGTGTGTCAGATTTCCAACTAGATTCACGCAAACTGTGCTTCAACTCCTTCAACTTCCCTTCCAGGTAGTCAAGTCTCTCACCATCTAAACCTGCCAAACTCACACAGGATTGGAAATCATACCATATGTCATTCAACTTACGATTTGTAACTTCAATTGCATTACATTGTTCTGATATTTCTTAATAATCCAGTAAATATATGTAGTTAAGAATTACACAATTCAGCAATTTGCATAAGAAATGTATTCATAAATATGATTCTGAAACGAAATATAACAACTAAATTAAACATCACTCTGCTGTATTGTTTTCTTTAATGGGCATGTCCGTGCGTCATGGAAATCTATTTTTTCACATATTACACAACCTTGGCACCTTCTTTTTTTGTTGAGTAAGTGATTTCTCATAATCACCAACAATTCTCCGTCCACACCCCTTGTTTCTACCTTCAATGGGAGGTTTAACGATCACTTCCGCTGGTATTTTTGAGCCAACAAAAAACTCCATTACATCATTTTTGTTCTGTGTGTCAGATTTCCAACTAGATTCACGCAAACTGTGCTTCAACTCCTTCAACTTCCCTTCCAGGTAGACAAGTCTCTCACCATCTAGACCTGCCAAACTCACATAGGATTGGAAATCATACCATATGTCATTCAACTTACGATTTGTAACTTCAATTGCATTGCACTGTTCTGATATTTCCTTGAACTGCAATGAATGCCTCATCTCAGCACCTTTTGTCCATCAGTTCACAACAAGATGTCTTGATATTTTTGTTACATCAGCTTGGTTCAGTGCAAAAAAACCATGTCTACATACTATACCCATTTTCTCAAACAGCCTACACGTACATTGCACGTCATTATTCAAGTAAGCGTGTTTCACCTAAAATTCAAAAAACAATGTATATTAGCACCGAGTAAAAAAAGAAAAAGACAAGTACATGAATTCTGTGTTGTGAATCGAGATTCACATCACTGAATCGAGATTCACATCACTGAATCGCGATTCACATCACTGAATCGCGATTCATTGCATTAAAAACAGATTCAATTTCTATTGTTTCAATATCCATTATTAAGTTTTACCTCAAATATTTTCCATGTCTCTTTTTGTCCTTTATGGAAAAAATCTTCACGCCATCTTCTTCTGATATACTGTTGATACTCATATCATAACAGGATGACATTATCTCACTCTGTACCTCATAAAACATTATTCGAGTGTACAACTCTGCTACATCCCTCTCCAATAACAATGGAGTGTCCATTCTTGGCATCGACTTCGTTCCTTCATAGTTTAATCTTGCGTTTGTATGCCTTTGCTTCTCCATAGCACTCTCGTATCGGAGATAAAATTTCGTTAATGTGTCAGATCTACGGTTGAATTTGTCAAAGAAACTGTTCTCACTCTCTGATATTGATGTAGTCCGCAATAAACCGGCCATTGGATCATCAACATAATAGGCTGGAATCCATGACTCCCGAATGTTATACAGTTCACACAACCATTCATGACTTTCAAGCTTATATTCTTTCATAACATCTTTCCAACCGACTTCAAATGTTGCTGGATCTATATCTATACTCCAAATCAGTGCATTGATCTTCCTCTTGAAATCATCCATCTTCGAAATGCATTTTGCCAACTACAATATAAATATATAACGAAAGATTCAGTATTTATCTAATGAGGATTCATTATATTTATATGTGGGATTCATTACCTTTTGGTTAAATTTCTTCATGATGTGCCACATGCACAAACGGTGACGTGCTTCTGTAAAGACAGTTGGTATAGCTTGCTTCATGGCAGGGCACTGATCTGTAACAATACACTTTGGCTCGCGAATCATGCATTTCATGAATACCTCAAAAATCCAGACATAGTTATCAATGTCCTCTTTAGCTATCAATCCTGCTGCAAATACAACACACTTCTTATAATTGTCGAGACCAGTAAATGGAACAAACTTCATGTTGTACCTATTGTATCACATACAAAAAATATAAGATTCACTTCATGTTGTACCTATTGTATCACATACAAAAAATATAAGATTCACTATGATATATAATTACAATATTGTTTATAGTAAGAGATTAACTATAAAATCTTACTTGTTTGTGGAATATGTAGAGTCAAATGATATCACATCTCCAAATACATCGTAATTTCTTCGCCCAATAACATCTGCCCAAAAGATGCGAGTTAATCGACCCCCTTCATCGACTGCATAATCATAGAAAAATCCATCACTCATCTCCTTCTTATCCGTGAACTTCTCGATGATCATTTGAGCATCTCGATCACCAATATAAAGCTTCACATCCCTACTCCAATTTTTAAACTCGGTACAAGTAGCACCAACATTAGAATAACTTCCACACAACTCTTTAGCAAAGTTATATGTTTTGTTAGGCCCCATGTTGGCTTTTGCTCCATCAAATACAAGTTTCTTATGTGCGAGACCGAGAACTCTATTTGACTTCAAAAATTGTTTCCCACTACCGGAGACCAAAAAATGAGAATGCTCTTCAACGAATGAGAGAACATTATATCCTTTCAAACCATCAAACTTAAAAACAACTTTAGCTTTGCAACCACATCTACTAGATACAGTTCTCCTTCTCTTTTTCGAACTGCTACTAAAATCCTCATAATCAACATCCATCTTTGATTCATTGCTGCCAGCTCTACTGCAAACAATGTTTTTAAGAAGAACTGTACCGTCCTCATGTTTCTCTCTGTATGCCGTCTGATCTCAAACCCACTTTTATGTCCATACTCTCGGTAAAACTCTATACCATCCTCTAGTGATCGGAAGCTTTGGTTTAGATAAGGTTTAAATTCAGCTCCAACCAGAGGTTTCCAATACATACCACCACCTGGTGATTCAAAATGAATCGAGCTAACTTCGTCCATTCCATCTTCCCCAAAATCACTGTCCGATGCATTTATAACATGTGGTTCCTTAATTTGTTCATTGCTGCCAACAACTGAAAATAAAACAACATAAATAATATGGCTATATTTTGATATAATGAATCTGGATTCATGACAATGAATCTGGATTCACTCATGTGAATCTCGATTCACTATATTGAATCCATATTCACTACATTAAACACGTGAATCCGTTTGAACACGTTCTAGTTATTAGAGAATGTAATGATTTTTCATAATATATTCCCATGTTTTCTTTAGTGAATCTGGATTCAATGAATTTAAGCTCTCCAATTAAATTAGCATAAAATGTTCACGAATATAAACTCCTAGACAATAAGTCATATGACTAAGTTTTGATATACTGAATCTGGATTCATCGCAATGAATCTAGATTCACTAGAGTGAATCTCGATTCACTTTTTTGAATTCATATCATTGCAAATTAATCTGGAGTGAATCTCGATTCACTGTATTGAATCCAGATTCACTGCAGTGAACAAGTGAATAAATTATGAAAAACACTGTAATCTCTAACAATGAATCTCGATTCAATGCAGTTAATCTAGATTAACAACTATAACGTGTTGAACTGAATTCAAACTCTCCATTTAAATCTCCATAAAATGTTTAAGAATGTAAGCTCCTATATAATAAGTCATATGACTAATTATTTAAATACTGAATCTAGATTCACTCCAATCAAAACAACTAGACACTACACACCTGAATTCAAGCTCTCCATTTAAATCTCTATAAAATGTTTAAAGGTCAGCTGCTGGACGATGATATGCTAGACGATGAACGAGAGCTGCTGGACGATGAACGAGAGAGCTGAAGAACGTTGAACGAGAGCTGCTAGACGATTTCAACGTTGAACGAGAGCTGAATAAAGATGATTGATGAACGAGAGTTGCTGGACGATTTTTAGATTGAGAGAGAGCTGCTCTTCGTGACTGTTGGGTTCACTACAACAAATTGCACTTTTCCCGACGCTTATTCCCGACACATGGTAAAATACGTCGCCAAAAACTATGTTTTTCCCGACGATTTTAGTTAGCGTCGGCAAAACATATATTTTTCCCCACGTTTATAATTAGCGTCGCTAAAAGTGTATATTATTAGCGACGTTTTAACTTAGCGTCGGTAAAAGTTATGGATTTCCCGACGTTTTTTCATTTTCGTCGGCAAAAGTATAGCTTTTAGCGACGTAAAAATATTCGTCGCAAAAAAGTATACATTTGGCGACGCACGTTAGCGTCAGCAAAAATATAGCTTTTAGCGACGAATAATTTTACGTCATTAAAAGTAAACACTTTTGCCGACGCTATATTGCGTCGGCAAAAATATAGCTTTTAGCGACGCAAAACTATTGCGTCGCCAAAAGGTATACTTTTACCGACGCTTTACTATTCATATGCGTCGCCAAACACAACCCCCCTCCCTCCTCTTTTTTTTTCATTTGCCCGCCTACTTTTCATTTCCTCCCCCCTATTTTTTCATTTTCCGCTGAGGCAAAACTTTTTCATTTCGCTGCCCTAGCAATCCTCCTCCTCTTCTCAATCGCCTCCGCCAAGATTTGGATTCCTAAGGGCTAATCCTAATGATATAATATAAAAGGGTACCAAAGTGCTTGATATTTTTATTAAGGTACCCAAGAAAATAAATTTTTAATTAGAATTATGTTTATTTCTTTTTGCTAATGACAAAGGGGGAGTTATATAGAAAATTTTAATTTTAAATTTTTTACTAATGCTTTGATGCAGGGAGAGTAAAAGATTTTATTTAATGATTTCATGCAGAGGGATTAAAATTTTTATATCTTAATAACATATATTTGTCACCATCAAAAAGGGGGAGAATGTTAGGAATCTTGACCCCAAGATTAGTTTGTTTTGATGATAACAAATATTATATGTTGTGTGTATTATGTGCTAACATTTGTTTTGCAGTATCAGAGCTATATCAATAATTATATTCAAAGAGATACTCAAGACATAGATGGGTTCAAGGCAAAATAAAGCAAAGAAGAAGATATACTTTATTGTCAAAATGTAATTTTATATTTTCTTTGCTTAGAAATTTGTACAAGCTTTGATCACTCACACACATGCACACACATAGTGTTAGAACACACTAACACATGCTTAGTGTGTTGGTTAACAATAGAAACCCCCTATGTTAGCCATTAGAGTTTATAGATATTAAGTGAGTCTTAAAACATTTCATTTACACCCCTTAGAAATTAGAATCTGGAAAAACTCAAAAGACCAAAGTTGTAGGTCTCTTCAAGAGCTTTCCAACAAATCTTAAATCACCTCATTCCGATATCGGATGAGAAAGTTATAGTCAAAATACTAAACAGAAAAATTCCAGAATCTGAGTTTACAGTGTAGTCGACTACTATGCCTTATAGTCGACTACTGAGCAATTTTCTGACTTCACAGAGTCTGTTTAGACTCAGTGTAGTCGACTACTATGACTTGTAGTCGACTACAGATGCAGTTTTTTCAGATTTCAGGTTTAAAATAAGTGACTGTTTATAGCCGTTTTGTGGACGTTAATTGGGTTTAAAATTATGTCATTTCAGAGGCTATAAATAGGTTTAAACATCAGAAAACAACAACCAAGTTTTACACTTGCAAGATCAAACATTTTGTGCATATTCACTCTCTAATTTTCCAGATTTTCATGCTAAGTGTTTAGAAAAAGAGAGTTTCTGATATTGCCTTGGTTTCAATCATTCTTAGAGATTGTATAGGCAATATTCAGAGAGTTAAAAGAATCCTAAGCCACTGCAGCACTTCACTACACATTCAAGGCTTATAGGATCAATTGTGTTCTTGCTTCAAAAAGGATTTCTCTCGGGTTTGAGAGGGTTGATCTCTTGGTTTAGAGATTGGGTGGCAATTGGCATGGTCTTGTCAATTGGTGTTGCAATTTGCATGGTCTTGCAAATTGGTCAGGTTTGCTTTTGATTTTGTAAGGTTTCAAAATCATAGTGGAAATCTCAAGCGGGATTTGCTTGGGGACTGGATGTACACCGGGTTGGTGGAACCAGTATAAAACTTTGTGTTTGTGATTGTGAATTTCTGAGATTGCCATTTTTCTTTGCAATTTATAATCTACTTTGCATATATTTTAAAAGAACACTATTCACCCCTCTTCTAGTGTTCTAGTGTATCTATTTCAGATCCTACATTTGGTATCAGAGCAAGGTGAAAGATGGCATCAACAAATACATCACAATTCAAAGAGGGATATTCCACACAGCGACCACCTCTATTCGATGGCACGAACTACAACTATTGGAAGTGCCGAATGAAGATTTACCTTCAATCAATTGGCTACGAACTTTGGAACGTCGTGGAAACAAAATATGAGAAGCCAACAACTCCTTTTGCAGAATGGACTACTTCTCAAAGAAATAATGCAAATTTGGATTCAAAAGCAATGAATGCATTATTTTGTGCACTTGACAAGAATGAGTTCAATAGGGTGTCAACGGCCACATCTGCATACGATATTTGGCATACACTTGAGGTAACTCATGAAGGTACAAATAAAGTTAAAGAATCTAAAATATCTATATATAAGTATACTCTCTCTTATATATGTATACTCTCTCTTATATAAGTATATATTAGTATTCACTCTCTTATATATGTATAATATATGTGTATATATATATATACTAATATACTCTCTCTCTTAGTATATATGTATATATAAGTATACTCTCTCTTATATATGTACTAGTTGGATTACACGTGCAATGCACGTGGTGTGGTAATTTTTTAAATTTTATTATTTTATTATTGATTCATTTTATTAAGATTTCTTTAATTTAAATCATGTATCAAACATATGGATAGAATTTAAAAATTCAAAAGGATTGAATAATAAAATTACATTTTTTTCTTTAATCCTACTTATTTCTATCTTTTTAAAACAATTGATAGTCATGCAATATAAACAACAGAGATACTATAAGTATCTATCTTTATCATTGGATATTTTAAGCTTTAATGGTTCCAAATTTCTTTCTAGCAGTAAGCTACTTACACCTATTACGAGTGTGAGATTTTCTGATTACATGTCTATGAAATTCATCGAATCAAAGTAAACTGCAATATTCTTAAAAATTGCGAAGATATTATAGAGCAAGAATTTTTAAGAAGGCAAAAGACCAAAGAATCATACTCTTAAAATAGCAGTTCTATCTTTGATAAAATCAATTGCAGATGAATCATACTCTTAAAATAGCAGTTCTATCTTTGATAAAATCAATTGCAGATGAAACCAAAGGTGGAAAACCATGAGACTATAACTAAAAAGATGAAACCAAAGGTGGAAAACCATGAGACTATAACTAAAAATAAACAAATTTGTCTTTCCAGATATGTATCAGGTTTAAATGATATTTACTGTAGAGTTCACTTTAGATTGGGCTCCAATAAGTTTCTTATTAGAATGAAATTTAGATGTCGTATAGATCCACTGAACCTAACTTATCATAGGCTAAAAACAATAACATATAGAACTATTGGTTCACCAAAGCCTCTTTTGAATAATTTGCTACCCCTATTTTTTTAGTAAGTCGTCTGCATTTACGGCTTGTCCCGATGTACGACGATGAGAAGGGTCTCCTAACCAACCACTTGTTCTCCCTTCTATACCATCTAAATTAAAGTTTTCAAGTACAAAATTTAGTAAATGCTAGTCTGGGAAAGGTATTTTTGACAGTAGTTAATAAAAATGAAGATATTATAAACACATTTTTTCTATGTTAGGTCTAAGAACAAATGACCATGTTAATGAAACACAATAATTAAGTGGCACAGAAGCACTTGGCTAGGAAATAGATAAAACATGTATTGGAGCAAACATGAAGGAGGAAATTTTTTAATAAAAAAAGTTAAACATAATGTATTCTATGACATAAATAAATGTAACAAACTTAATAGCAGACCCCCAAAGGAACAGTTAGCAAAACAACGACCAGATTGCCTATTGACATTACCAAGAATTGGTGCCAACCCAGAGTAGGTCCTACTCCAGAACCCTGTATAGAAGATAAAAAATGAGTAAGATGTTAATATGATAGAGAAAAAGAAATCAAAACAAATGAAAACCTATCAGCAAGAAATTAATAAGCCTATATATGCAAGACTTACAAGAGGTCGTGGAGGAGTGCTAGCAATTTGTGATTGGTACTTCAATATAGTCCAATCAAACACATATTCAAATAGAAATCTTGTAGATTATGATTCAACATCATTCAACATCTTGCTTGAGAATTACAGATATCTGAACCTGCCATCAGCACAAAATTCCTCATCAATATGAACAGTATGAGCTTATCCTCGTGAATAAAAAGGTCACAAAATATTCTTTTAAGTTATGAATAATAATGTTTGTCGTCAAACCGTAGTGAACGGTTGTAGTGGAAGTTGGATGCAAATTATGTAGGCTATTCACGGCATAATGCCTGAAGATAATATGTGAATGTTGTCATGATTAAAAAATATATATCTATTTAGTCATTATTAAGAAAAGTATGAAAATATGTTAGGGTATGTCGGAGTGGTGGAGTCCTAGGCGGCAACACAAAATGAGCGACCAAAATTTTCCCACGCATACACAATTGAAATACCATAAAGTATAAATTGAGAAAATTATTTGATACTGATAATTGAAATACCATAAAGTATAAATCAGGGCAAAAGTATAAATTTACTGGTA